AACATAATGATGTCACATTGTTACCATGGCCACCAAGATCTCCCGACTTATCCCCAATTGAGCACGTGTGGGATATGATGGGTAGGAGATTGCTCAATTTGCAACGTCCTCCTCAGACTCTAGAAGCACTTCGAGAGGAGTTGGTGGTTGCCTGGAATGAGATACCACAGGAGGACATTGACCACCTGATCAGAAGCATGCCTAGGCGCGTTGGAGAATGCGTAGCACATCAGGGTGCATCCACATATTATTGAAGGTCAAAGGGCTTTAAAGCAGTGCAATCATTTTGAAATTTTTATCATTTACTTATTATGCTTCATTAAGTACTTATACAAAATTTTATTAAAATAAAACCATTTAAACTGGGTGTTCGGATTTATATGTCACTTAGTATATTTTGGTTTTTCTGAGTCTGCCTCAAAAATGATTTAGAGCTTCTTAGGAAATCGATATCAAAGGGTACACATTGACATGGTTCTATCTTCAAAGCGCCTCATTTCCTCCGGAGTGCCTCAAGGGTCTGTACTTGGACCACTCCTATTCATTTTGTATATTTCTGATCTCCATTCAGTTGTTAAATATTGTAATATCCAATTCTTTGCTGACGATTCACAGTTCTACAGTCATTTCCATAATCACGACATTCGAAATGCTGAATCTGAGGTAAATGAAGATATAACATCTACTAGTATGTATGCAAAAAAACATAATATTCAGTTGAACCCTTTAAAATCGAAAGTTATCATTTTTTCAGCAAAACTATTTTGAAGTGATGCCAAAAGAAATTTTAAAGTAAAATTAAATGGTGACACTATAGAAGTAAGTGAGTCAGTGAAAAACTTGGGCGTAACTTTAGATGAATGTCTAAATTTTATACCACATGTAAATAATGTCAGTAAGAGTTGTTTTTCAATTTTACGTCAATTATATCTTAATAAACAATTTCTTGACTTTACAACTAAAAAAAATTTGTGTGAATCTTTGGTAATGTCCAAAATTAGTTATTGCGATTTAGTTTATCTTCCATTTCTTGACTCAATATCTCTAGAACGTCTCCAAAAATTCCAAAACTCATGTTGTATGTAGATCAATAGTTTGAAAAAATATGATTTTTTCAGTGACATGAAGTGGTTGAAAGTAAATGAACAGTGTGAGCTACACCCAGTGACTTACACCCACAGGCTTTTACTGTCATCCATTCCGCCGTTTTTGAGAAATAAGCTGATATCTAGAAGCGATATCCATTCTAGGGACATTCGATTCATTGAAACACTCACAATGCCCCTCCACAGGACATCATTCTTTCGTAAATGCTTCACCTACAACGCAATTATTTTTTACAATGCTTTACCTCAATCCACAAAATTGCTATCATATGATGAATTTAAAAGACATATGAAGAAATTTATTTTGAATAGAAATATATAAATTAGTTGATAAAATTTATCGGTCACCTCACACAAAAATATTTCCAATATAGCATTCCTTTCTTTTGTATGACTGTTACAATTTTATACTTTTAAATCATGAAATATTGAATAGCCTTCACTTGTATATGTTATATACCATATTTTTTATACACCTACATTTGTAATCTTGTAACTTATCAAACGTATTTATGTTTTTTGTATTGTTTTTTCAGTTTTTCTTTTTTTTTGGGTTAAGCGGCAGAGTAGCATTATGCTAAACTTCGCCCCCTAAATAAAGACGATTTATCATTATTATTATTTACTTTACTTCGCGAGGATCTCGATTCTGATCACAAGGTGTTTCTGTTCCATACAGAAGTACGATGGCTGGCAACATGTTGGCTCGCCTTTATGAATTGAAAGAAGAGGTAATTATTTTTTTGAGGTCAAAGATAAACACGATTTTCTAACAATGTTCAAAGATGACACATTTCAATGGAGGTTGGCTTATTTAACTGACATATCTTGAATAAGCTAAGCTTGAAACTTGAATGCAGAAACAACACTACAGGTATAATAAGCAATTATGGTTATATTCAGGGGTTCACATCAAAGCTTCAACTTTGGAATCAAAAAGTATCTTCTGAAAATGTCATATTCTGTTCGAAGCAATTAAAAATAACATACTGGAAGCAAATTTAAAAACTGACATAAAAACCCATTTGCAATCACTGGAAGACGAATTTCGACGATACTATCGAGACATAAATTCAGAGTCACCAATATGGCACATGACAGAAAATCGATTTGTTGTCGATCTGTCACAATTACCAGAAGAAGTTGAGGAAAAATTTCTAGAAATGGGGGCTGATTCGTCCATGAAAGATGACTTCCATCCTTTGACATTGGAGAAATTTTGGATCAAAAGGTTGCCTGTTAATTCGACACTTGCATGTCTTGCTTTACGAATACTAGTTCCTTTTTCTTCAACTTACTTATGTGACATAGGCTTTTCTGCTGTAGCTTTAGTTAAAACTAAACAGCAAAATCGTCTTGATGTCGATAACGGGCTGACGATAGCTCTGACAAAAACAGAACCTAGAATCAACCAACTAGTACAGAACATGCAATTTCATGTGTCTCATTAGTACCTACTCTTATTTTATTCAAGTTTTTCGATAAAAAACATTTATTAGTTGATTTAAACTTATAAAGTTTCTTTCTAAGAGTTAAAATAAAAGTGTTTGAAACCACATAATGTTTGTTTTTTGTATTTATTGAAAAAGTAAAGGGAGGCTTGAAAATATAATTTATAGTCCGGGGAGTCCCAACAAAAAAGAGGTTGTGGAACCCTGGTCTAGGTATTCCCTCAAGCAACTCGCTAATTCGATGTTCCCTAGTGTGATAGGTTGAGAAGCGTCACATCGGGAGGTCTCGCTGGCCAATTGATCGGTCCGCTTCTCCCTATCCAACAATTAGGTCGCCGTACTGCTTGGCGGTAATGTTCTGAGATACGCTAGATTTTATTAATCATTAGTGGTGTATGGTCCACAATAGTGAATTGTGTTACCTAAGTCGCTGAAACAACGTGGTTGTGAAAAAATACTGGACCTGAGATCAAACATCTGGGAGTCAACAGAACTATTTGGAATGTATTACAAAAATTTCATAATGAATGACTGTCTTGGGTAAAGATAAGTCTTGTGTGAAGAAATGTTTATTGTTTTCATGGAAGATCTGATTTTAAGTCTAAATGTGGAATATATTTTTTAACTTGGAATTAACAGCAATAACTCAAAAACGTTTGGAAAAAAAGTTGTACGAACCTTAAATCGAAAAAAAAGTTCCCAAAGAAAGTTATTCAATGATGTAGATACAGGATGTTGTGAGAAAAGGTAAATTTTGCGCTTTGAGATACCCTGCATTAGTAAGGTTACCACGAAACAGATTTTTGATATCTTTTCCAGTTTACCCATAAAACTACTTTCCATGTTTCTTGGAACACCCTGTATGTATATAATAATAATAATAATAATAATAATAATAATAATAATTCGGCTTTATTTATACAAAGTATAAAAAGGCGAAGTGTCGCTAAAAAGCGTTTTTCAACTTAACCCAACAAATATTTAAGTATATTTTCTAATCCCAATGAAAACAAGAGTTAAAAAAAACCTGTAGCGAGTCCTTATTCATGGCCATTGTCTACTTACTGGGCAATGAAATCAGAGATAAAATTCTTCAATCTTTTTTTGAAATTCTTTATAGAGTAGTGAGTGAACTCGGTAGGCAACGCGTTGTATAGCTTGATAGCAGTATATACGTACGACCTTTTAAATAGAGATGTTGAATGTCTCGGGATAACCAAGATATGCTTATTCTTTGTGTTCAGTTGATTAACATCTGAGTATCTGATAAATTTGGTTGATAGATATGGAGGGGCTTGTGTTGTGATTACCTTATGGCTCAAGGTCAATACATGCATTTTTTGTAGCTCTTCTATTTTTTGAACACCCAGCTCACGATATTTATGTGACAGTGTCTCACTCCACAAGCAAATCTGAGACACACATTTTGAATAGTGTATACAGGGTGACTTCGAAGTTGAGTCATTTATTTTAACAGTGAGTAGATCTGATCAAAAGAAATGTTTTTTTCCTTTACCATTTTTCTGGTAAAATTAAAGTAACAAAGTTATAGCCCTTTGGAAGTTTGAGTACCGCCCTGTCTCAATAATAATATCATGTACTCGTGTTTGGCAACAACGGATATAATCCACCTTATCGGTTCATCGCATGGGAAACAAAAAAGCGAAAGAATTTGGAACGATGTTTTTATTTCATTCAGTTCAGTTATACATACAGTCAGTGTCAGTCGCGTGTGAATAGTGTCTGTTGCGTGGCTCAAACGAAATAAAAAATGGCACATGTTTATGCGGATCGGTTTCCCAATCGAGTGCAACCAACCCCTCGTGCCTTTGTTAATGTAGTACAACGGGCTCGTGAATCAGGTGACTTAAGACCTCACAGGGCACCTCACGATCAAATACAGGTCCGCACTGAAATACTTGTTGGGAGGATACTTTATAAAACAAGGTAAAAAATCTTTTTTATTTTTTTTTTATTTTTACACACATATTTTGGTTTATCTTCCTTCTACAATCATTATCTGAAAATTAATGACTCAACTTCAAAGTCACCCTGTATACATCACCATTTATGATACTGACTATATTCCAATACTCTTTAATGAGCCTTATGATAATTAAAAACTATCTGTCTATATATCCCAAACTCATGGTGGGGGTTTCAGCCCCTGCTACGCTTGTGCGATAGACAAACCAGCGGAGATTAACAAAAGAACTAGTGGATTTCATACTTTTGGAACTCTCAACTTCTGCTACATTCCTTTGCTCCCGAATATGTAAATTAGTGTAAATTATAGTTATAAAAAAACATGTGTCATTGCAATTAGCTGCAATGACACGGATGATAACCTCCCGCGCCAGTTCCCGGAAGTACGGAATTTCCAGTAGGAAAAATGTACCGCCGCTTACCCGCGAAAGAACCACCAGTGCCACCTCCCGCCAAGGTCCGGCACGTGACCGTCACCCAAATATCTTAAAACCAGCGGCGGCCCAGGATCGCGCATTCGCGATTCAGTCGTGTGACAGTCCGCGGAACTGCTCCACGAGGGATCCGAACGCATTCACATTATCACATTGCACCATCGTACCGCCGCGCGAAGCCTACCAAAATGCCCGAAACGACACTTCTTGATTTTGACGAGCCGGCGACCTACAGCGATGCCATAGCGTCTTCTTCCTCGTCGGGCCTGTCTTCCGACGAAGAAACCTCCGTCATCAAGAAAGAACACGTCAAGGCCTATACCCAGAGGAAACTTAGTACCACTCCATCAGCAACCACTTTTGAAGGTATACCAACCCGCAAGGATCATGAAGAATTTTTACGAAACAGTATCGAGATCATACTGAAACACGCCGTCTTCGAAGGTTGTGACAAACGAAACAAAGTGCTGAATTTCCAACATCCGAAAGACCTCGAGAAGATTTTTGACTTGAAGCTCAGAAGCTCGCCAGGTACGCACGAAGAGCTTCTCAAGCTTCTGAAAGATACCATTCACCATTCAGTAAAACCAGGCAACCCATGGTTTGCGAATCAATTGTTTTGTGGTCTCGATCCCTACGGTTTGGTAGGGCAATGGCTGACAGATGCTTTGAATCCGAGCGTGTATACTTACGAGGTAGCGCCAGCCATTACACTGATAGAAGAGGAGGTTCTAAAGGAGATGAGGAAGTTTGTGGGATGGAGCAAGGGCGACGGAGTGTTTTGTCCAGGTGGTTCCATGTCCAATGGGTACGCTCTCAACATTGCCAGGCATTTTCACTGTCCAGATATCAAGGTAGGAAGCTAAGTACTTATTCGGTTTTTGAAAAGTTTGCCAACTCACCTCAAACACAGCATCACTTGTTTTTAAAGGTATACCGATTTTAAAGCGCGTTTCACCTTTTAATTCTAAATATAAATAGTCTAATCATATTATCAAATTTCCCCGAAATAATTGTAAAGTCTGGTTTTATTGGTGCAAGTTGTTCAAGGGGGGTATTTTAAACATGGACGTATAAAATTCGTACACCATTTTTTGTGGGAAAACTTTTTATTTGACGACAAAGAATGAGAAAATATGTTTTTTGGGATTCAATCGGAAGTGTGACAGAAAAACAACTTTTCGTATAAGATTTTTATGTATTTATGAGACCTACAATTTTGTCGTGGTTATTCAGAAGTGTGAATCCTACTGGTTTGCAGAATTTCAAATATCTGCCAGAAACCATTGTCGCATTACCAGCAAGTTCCAAAACCTGCAGTTTGTCTCGATTTTTGGACATAACTCTTTTGCTATTAGTCAGATCTTTTTACGAGTAGTCTCATTTTGTCTCATAAATAGCTAAAAATCTTATATGAAGAGTTTTTCCGTTCCTGTCAAAATTTTCGATTGCATCCCAACACGTTTTCTCATTCTTTGTTGTCGAATAAAAAGTATTCCCACAAAAAATGGTGTACCCATTTTATGAGTCGATGTTTTTAACTTGCAGCAATAAAACCAGACTTTACAATTCTTTTGCAAACAAGGAGTATTTTCGTCTAATATCATTAGACTAAAATAATGATCATGAAATCGGAATTCGATGACATGACACGTTATTTGGCGAGGAATTTTTGTAAATTAAGTGTCAGTGGTAGAGCGTGGTTGTAGATGTTATACTCGTATCTTAGAAGGTTCCAATATGCCTGGCTTCAAACGATCATACTTGGATTCCAAGTCAATCTACTTGACGCCATTTCTTATATAGGATACTTTCACATTCTGTTACTTATTCTCACAAGCCTTTTCACTAAAATGAGCTACAGGTAAACCGAATTTTAATTGATTGATATTGAAAAGCATTTTTTTATAAAATGTATTGGATACATGAACTTTTCAATAAAATCACATGAAAGAATTTATCTTATGAATCTCTTGTAATTTGTAATTTGAAGAGGGTCGGAAGCAAAATTTTTGCTGAAAGTAATATAAATTACTTGTAATTAATTGGATTTGGGGTCTTAAGACACACGGTTTCCTCTTTTAAAGTTGCCAACGATTCGGGAAAAAAAAGATTGCCTTCTTGAGGGCTCTATAAAAATAATTATAGAACTAACTTTACATATATACATTAATTAACAATTCAAATAATAAATCCGAATTGAAAGATACTTTTTGGTTAAGACATTATATAAAATGAGCTATCTAAACTCATCCCCGAATTACATTAACAAGATAAGTCCCAACATATAGACACAAAAAAAAATAAAAACAAAACAAGGATAAAATGATTAGATAGATCTCAAATCAATCGATTTAAAAAAAAACTTTATTGAGGGCAGCACTTCAGTCCGTTACAAAATTACACTGGGTTTACAAGTGACTATCACGGAGTCTAACTTGAAATGCCGGGGAGACTATACAATTAGTATAGTATAGTATTAGTTACTAAGGACATACCTGTATAACATAGGTATTTAAATAGCGAATAAGCAGTTCTTTCGATTATCGGAAAAAAAGAAACGTCGAAACTGAGGTGATCAAAAAATAATCCAATGTTATGCTCATCTTAGATATAATTTTGACTGCAAGTGATCAATATAATAAGCAAAAGGCTGTTATGAGGTACAGTTAGACACAGATTGATGAAAAGGAGGAAGGTGTTACTAAACATTAAAAATCTGAACCATGTTTCATTTTATTTGATGTTTTGCATTTTTGTTGATAAATATTAGGTGGTGATGGTTATTTTGTCTTGAAATATATACATAGTGCTTGAATCTGCTATGTCTGTGCTTTTGTCTACTGCATTCTTATGCTTTCAGATTTCCAACATTTCAACAACAATCAAAAAGCACAATAATGCACTAAACCAAAGTACAAAAATCATTAATTTCATGAAGACAAAAAACCACCACATAATATTTATCGAAAAGGGCTAAAAAGATTTGACCACGTCTATGTGCAAAATTAGATTTGCATACTCAAATACCTCCACCTGCTCTCATATGTTAATAATTTACCAAAAGGGAAATGGATTAGAAGGGAGGCGCTGTGAACACCATTATCACAAATGTCCATAAAATTATTACACCATACCACCTGGGCTCGTGTTCTACATAATTTATTGATCTATTTTACTCAGAAGCTGCTTCTGATTTTCATTATCATAAATTCGTAATTCATAATCGCAGTCGATAAAGTTTTACAGATTGCCGCTTAATGAACTGAAAACAGTTCATTCATAATCAATTTACTCACGATACGATGGATTGATATAGGGGAATATCACCTTGGAGAAGGTCAGGGTCGTCAGGAAAAGCAGAACGAAATTGTATGCTTGAACTTGAAAATAATGTTGACAATGGAATGTATTTATGCTAATATGTGAAAGATGTCTTAAGAATGAAAAATTTAATGGAATTGATGAAGGAACTGTTCGGATAATTTTAGTTTTTGCTGAACAATTAATAAAGCGAGAGACAGTGCCTAACGACGCTTCTACAACTTTTCTCCGAACTTATTCACCGCGAAACTTTGGAAAAGTTAGAGGACTTCTTGTTCTAAATATTCTATTTCAGGTCTCATGACTTGTGGGCTACATTGAAAATTTTACGTCTGGTGTGATTGTCATAACGAAAACTTGGAACTAGGAATATCACATTTTTCAAGTGCTTTACGACATAGGACATCATCTAATAAGTTCACCGTCTGTAGAGACTTTCTCAGTGATTATATGCTTATAAACAGGGGGAACGGCAGGTCTGTTGGTATTGCCATGATATTTTTTGCACCATCTTCTCACCAGCCAGTTTTTTGACATATCACTAAAAGCGTCATTTTCGCTCTGAATAACATCACTGAAATAATTTGGCCATGTTAAATAAAAAGAAGTAAATGCTTCCAAAACACAATACTGTACCTTGACTAACAAATAAAGGTCCATTCATTTCGGGAGGTCGGAGTCCAGATCACCGAGGACTTGATTTGGCCTGAAAACGTCGCCTGGTATCTAATTGAAAAATGCTTCTAACATTGGTAATGTCATGGGCGCCCGCAGGGAGGGGCATGGAATTCTGAATAGGTTTTTCCCTTTTCATTGAAGGCAAAACTTGCCACCTTCAGCGGCGGGGGCGGGAGGAACCGATTTTCAATGGCTTGTGTCACTAAGGCCCCTCAAGACGGTACTCAATGAAAACTATTTATGGGGCAGATGCGTAATATGTGGGGGAGCTTTTGTAAAATAGTTACAATTATACAGAGTGTCCCAATTTTGACCCGCATATCAAAGATGATTTTTTCTCAGTCAGATGAGTTGATTATTGTCTGATCATTTGCCAATCTGACACGCACTTTTTGTTTTTGTCAGTAAGATAGGTTTCACGATATTTTTGCTGCCATACTTTTAATACACAAAACACTTCATTTTATTATAAAATCTTTCAATTTTCAATTACATTACACCAAGATGAACTGGCTTTGCTCCATGGAAAGGGTTTGACGAATCTGCAATGTTTATTTTTAATTACAAATCTACTATTTATCTTTTGTATTTATTTTATTTTTGTTAGTCATAGTCATCGTATTTACAAACGTTTTAATGTAACTCAGAAACCACAAGTTTGTAGCAAGTGTAAATGGGCAAATGTTAAACGAGCCCCTTCCCATTTCAGTTAGCCCAGCTATTGAAATCTTAGTTTTTTTCTGATGAAATACAAATACTAAAAATGTAGCAGGGTGTTATAGGTTTAAAATATTAACAATGAATATTTTGATAATATATAGTAGAAAACACCAACTTTATCACTCCCTAATCCAATTTACTGCAAAAAAATAACACACGTTGCAATTACAGCATATCAACCTATTTTCATTTCAATGCAAAATAAGTCTATAACGCATAGGTGGCTGTGAAAAATAAAAGCCATGACAATTGTTTTTATTAATCACAGCTGTCAGAATACGTTTAAAATAGGTTTGGGTAGTTAAGGTTTTCAAAATGGGTAGAGGAAAGGTTATTAGTGAGAAAATTCAGTTACTGATAATTAAATTTTGTAATTCTGGGAAATCAAACTCAGAAATTGCAACTTTGTTAGACTTATCCCGGTACAGTGTGAGAAATATCGATAGAAGATATGACGTAACCGGTTCAATTAATATTAAGCCACGATCTGTGAAAAAAAGTAATATCACAAATGCCGACCGAAGAGCATTAAGAAGAATAATCGTGAAAAACAGGCGTGCCAATTATTTACAATTTAGTGCTCTGTGGAGTGACGCTGTTTGAAGGAGAATTTCTAGGTCCACAACTCATAGAGAGGCCCTCAAACTGGGATTTAGCACTAGCAAGGTAAGTTTTCTTATAAAAAAAGTGAAGTAAAAACCCTAGAGTTGCACAACTTGTTTATAGCCCAAAGAAAAGCCACTATCAACTCCACTGCAAAAGAAAAATCGGCTTAGATGGGCTAAAGAACATAGACAATGGACACCTCAACAATGGCGTGCAATACAATGGAGTGATGAGGCCCGATTCGAAGTGTGTGTTGGTGACAGTCGCAGTAGAGTTATTCGCAAAAAAATGAAGAATTCCATGTTGACTGTCTGAAGAGAAAAGTTAAATTTCCAGCATCCATTATGGTCTGGGGCAGTATGTCATCAAAAGGAGTAGGAAAACTTCATTTTATTGATGGAAATGTGGATACAAACAAATATTTGGCAATTTTAGAAGAATCGCTTTTACCAATGATGGAAGAATGTTTGACATCCGGCCAAGATTTTGTGCTTCAGCAAGATGGTGCAGCGTGCCGTACCTCAAAAAAGGCTATAAAATGGATGGAAGAAAATAATGGACCACTTTTGAAATGGGTTTCTCGCAGTCCAGATCTGTCACCTATTGAAACTTTGTGACACGAATTGAGACAAAAGCTTCAAGAAATATGGGATTGTTTTACACCAAATTTTTGCCAAAACTTGGTTAACACTATGCCCCAAAGAATTTCAGCCGTAATAAAAAATAAAGATGATGTTACCCAATGGTAATCTTCCAATTGTTGTTTTGTTAACTTCGCGCATTTATTCGCACATTGTTTATTTGTTCAGATGCTCTATTAGTTATAGGTCTAAGTGATTTCAAATATGTATTTTTTACGACTAGAGTGTATCTAAAATGTTTTTGAGAAAATAAATTGTTTTAGAAGTAAATAGTTTCGTCATGTTTAATTTATAAAGGCATATTTTGGTACAAATCATGAAGTGGGCCAACTGAAGTGGGAAGGGGCTCGTACATGTATTCGATTTACTTATTTTATTTTTTTATTATTTACTTTTTATGCTCTCAACCTCCTTATATTGTTCATTCAGAAAATTCAAAAAAAGGATGAATAAGTATGGTAAAAATTCCTTAGCAGAATTCACTACTCCACCTGTCAAGACATCAGGTGTGTGGGATGTGAAACTTTTGCAGATAAAATAGCCGAACAACAAATAATCAAATCCCATAAGTATGTGGTATCGATCTTCTTCTGTCAAAAGGATATACAGGGTGACTTTGAAGTTGAGTCATTAATTTTCAGATAATGATTGTAGAAGGAAAATAAACCAAAATATGCGTGTAAAAATAAAAAAAAATAAAAAAAAAATGTTATCTTGTTTTATAAAGTATCCTCCCGACAAGTATTTCAGTGCGGACCTGTATTTGATCGTGCGGTCTTGGAGCACCGGCATGCCGTCCCCTGTGAGGTCTTAAGTCACCTGATTCACGAGCCCTTTGTACTACATTAACAAAGGCACGAGGGGTTGGTTGCACTCGATTGGGAAACCGATCCGCATAAATCCGTGATGCCGCGTAAATAAGAATCATGTCCACAAGTTCAGCATTTTCGTAAACATGTGCCATTTTTTATTTCGTTTGAGCCACGCAACAGACACCACTATTCACTCACGCGTTACCGACTGACACTGACTGTATACAACTGAATAAAATAATTGTAAAAACATCGTTCCAAATTCTTTCGCTTTTTTGTTTCCGATGCGATGAACTGATAAGGCGGATTATATCCGTTGTTGCCAAACACGAGCACATAATATTATTATTGAGACAGGGCGGTACTCAAACTTCCAAAGGGCTATAACTTTGTTACTTTAATTTTACCAGAAAAATGGTAAAGGAAAAAAACATTTCTTTTGATCAGATCTACTCACTGTTAAAATAAATGACTCATCTTCGAAGTCACCCTGTATATTCGAATGTGTAAGAGTATGTCCTTACATAATAATTGCGAGTGGCTCATAAACGTGCCCCCAGATACCTTGTGTAATAACCCATTAATACGTCTTTGAAAGGTTTACTCGTATGTTTGAAAGCGATATTTTGTCCTCGTTTGAGTGGGTCGCCCTGTATGATTTAGAATGCTGAAAAGAGCATTTTCATAATTTAAGCTTCAAATACAATAAGTTCAAAGAAATCGGGAAGAAAATGAGAAAGTTTGCATAATCTGAAAAATATGTTGCAGCGAACTTTTAGTGATTGGTTATGCATTTTGCAGTTTAATTTGGTATGAACTCATTACTTAACACCTTTTATGTTATTTCTGCTCAACTTGAAATGAATCCATTGAAACACGAAGAGAAACAATTTCATTGTGGTGAGCGCATTTGTCTGAAGCCGAATATGTATTTTGTTACAGAAAAAAGGTGTATCGGCGTATCCTCGACTAGTGTCATTTGTTTCTGACGATGCTCACTATTCCACCAAGAAATTCAGCGCCTTCCAAGGTATGGGTGCTGACAACGTGTATGCCGTCAAAACAGACGAAAGGGGAAAAATGATCGTCTCTGATTTGGTGGAAAATATCGAGAGGGCACTGAAGGAAGGAGCCAAGCCATTTTTGGTTAGTATAATTTTATAAGAGATAAGATTCGGAATTTAGAAGAATCTTTGTTTACAAGAAAGCATATGTAATGTCGTAGATAGAACAAATGAGACATATGCCAACATAGCAACCAGTTCGGTCAGGTTTTTCAATCGCAGGTTAACTGTAACTTCGTTGCTAACCAGGAGTTATCTCTCAGATAGCTCGTACAGCGATTGTCCAAAAACCGTGGTTAACTTCAAGCAGATCACCATCTAAGGCCTGAGTAGAAAGTCAATATGAGTTTTAAGTCGCTGATAAAATACATGCAATAAATAGGTGCTCTAAATAAATTGAATTGTACGGATTCTCATTATACAGGGTGTTTCAGTTTATTGTTGCATAACTTTAAGATTCGATAGAACTTTTAAAATTAATGCATAAGGTCTATATAAACATGGGTCGAAAAATGCGTGGCTTCCGAAATACAGGGTGTTTAAATTTCCTTTCTAAAATAGTTTTTTTAAATATTTCGAACAATATTTGATCTATAACAGTGAAAATTGGTATACAAGGGTTTTTTGGTACGACAAAACGAACCATGGGCATAGTTTTACTGTAGCCGCTAGAGGGCGCTCTCTACTGTACCTGTAGTGTATTAAAATGACCGAATATTTTTTCTTAGTACACTTTTTTGCTTTTTGAACAAAAAAACTGATTCTTCGCACTTTTCAACATAAAAAAGCTCTGTTGTGAATTTTCGTTATAGATAGCCGTTTTTGAGATATTTCGATTTTTAAGGTTCGATGCAGTTTTAATTATTTATGATAAAATAACGTTAAAAAGTCAGTATCTCGATAATTTTTAGAAGTAGGTTGTGCCTGCAAATATTTTTGAAATTGAAAACAGAATAAGGTTAAACGTCAATTAGTTGACAGTTAGTTTTGTTATCTGTTGAAACCTGAAACATTTTTTGCAATTGTGAATGCACGAAATTTAGTTTCTTTCACCTGTTTTTTTTTGTAAGTTTTATAAAAATGCCATTTTTATTCTCCAATCAAGAGTTAGCGCTTATTCATTTTGTGTATGGCTTTGTAAATGGAAACGCAGCAGAAGCAGCCAGAGAATACGCACGAAGATTTCCAAACAGACGACATCCAACTCGGTCAGTATTTGTAAGAGTGCATCGCCAAATAATTGAAAATTGTTTTGGAAATCTCCAAAGGGATCAAAACATAAATGTTCGTCAGCGCAGATTTCCCCGTATGATTCTGCGTGAGTTTGATAGAGATCGGACCACAAGTGTTAGGAGAGTTTCTGGTGCCTTGAGAATTTCAGCAAGCCATGTTCACCGTGTTCTTAGAAATGACCATAGACGTCCTTACCATTTGCAATCTGTGCAAGGACTACAGCCAGAGGACGGAGAACGAAGAATCACATTTTGTCAGTGGATTCTTGATAGAACTGATAATAATAGGGAGTTTTTAAGTAACGTTTTATCGACCGTTGAGTCATGCTTCACTAAACGTGGAGTGGTAAATTTTCATAATCAACATATTTGGTCGCATGCTAATCCGCTTGCAGTTCGGGAAAGAAATTTTCAGCATGAATTTAGTGTGAACGTGTGGATTGGTATCTACCGTAATCGACTATTTGGACCCTACCTTTTGCCTGCAAGGTTAAATGCTGCGACCTTCTTGGCATTTTTAAAGGCTGAACATGCAAATATGTGGGATGATGTTATGTTAGATTTCCAGCATGATGGTTTTCCAGCTCATTATTCGAGAATAGTTAGAAACTGGCTGGACGAAAAGATAGATCGGCCGTGGAGGACCAGTCGCCTGGCATCCACGATCCCCTGACCTAAATCCATTAGATTTCTTTGTGTGGGGATTTCTAAAAGAAAAAGTGTACCAGACTCCCGTAACCACAAGAGATATGCTAATAGACAGAATCAGGAATGCATGTGATGAAATATGGCCTTATTTGAATAATGCACCACGTTCGATCATTCGTAGATGTGAATTGTGTATTGAACAATTGGGTTTACATTTCGAGCAACTACTTTAGATTTTGTATGTTTATCCTAACTATCCAATAGCATTTTAGTTGTAAATAATTAATTTAATTTGTTAAAAATAATATTGGAAAATTAAACAAGTTAATATTCTGTTTTTTGTGTTTATTTGGAATTAGGAATTATTGCTGTGTTTAAAAACACAATCTAAACGATCATCTTAATTACTTGTAATGCCCAAATCGAAAATGTAAAAAAAAATATTATTTTCCCATAAATAATTGAAAATGCATCGAACCTTAAAAATCAAAATATCTCAAAAACGGCTAACTATAACGAAAACTCACAGGAGACCTTTTTTATGTTGAAAAGTGCGAAGAATCAGTTTTTTTTGTTCAAAAAGCAAAAAATTGCACTAAGAAAATTTTTTCGGTCATTTTAATACACTACAGGTACATTAGAGAGCGCCCTCTAGCGGCTACAGTAAAACTATGTCCATGGTTCGTTTTGTCGTACAAAGAAACCCTTGTATACCAATTTTCACTGTTATACATCAAATATTGTTCAAAATATTTAAAAAAAACTATTTTAGAAAGTAAATTTAAACACCCTGTATTTCGGAAGACACGCAGTTTTCGACCCATGTTTATATAGAATTTATGCATTAATTTTAAAAGTTCTATCGAATCTTGAAGTTATGCAACAATAAACTGAAACACCCTGTATATGCAATGTGTACAAGGTAGCATTTTATTGCAGTTCTGCTGATTTTGGGGTCTCCGTGGATCTATGATTCTGAACATATTGGTTTCTTTTCCGGATTGGATACAAATATTACCGAAAGAAAAATAAGCGAACTGATTTCCTGTGCTGTTAAAAATTACGTAACGGAAGTCTTAATGATTCGTTATTTTTGTTGCACTAAAAACTCTCTAATGTCTAACCTATTTTGCATAACAATGATATGAGGACACAGGACACAGTTCACACGAAAAAGTAACTATAGACAAGTTACTCAGAACTCAAAAAACGAATTTACCGATAACTGACATAACTTTTGTATTACATAACTTTCTTTGTTTTTTTGTTTCCAGCAGATGGAAACATATTTTCAAAATTACAAATTCTACAAATTAAGGCTATGAGAATCATTTTCTCTCATTCATTGGAATTTCCAATTCTCGAATTTCTGAGCCAACAATCGTGTATGCAGAAAGCCAGAAATTTAGAAAGGGGTGCAGAAAAATCCCATTGCTTAGGGAGCCACAGATCGGAAAATATTGGGAACCTCTGGATTAACCGGTTATTATGTCGACAACTTTAGCCGTTACCGGTTAACTAGACTAAATTTAACTGATTATAGGTTAACCGAAAAAAATAACCTTTATATTTGTCCATCAGCGATGTCATTGACCAAGTGAACACCGTGGCTAGCCAAGCGCCGGGATAGCGCTTAGCACACGGTGTAAACGTGCACAGTGCGGCATTCATGTAGAGATTTACAACTTCCAACAACCTTGGTGAATCAATTCAAGTCAAATAATGATAAGTGTAAATGCGGGAAACGTGAAGGCATCTGTCAATCGTCAAATCTTGTCATAAACCGTGGCATAAAAAAGGTATTTTGTGACCACAGAACATCTATTAGACCCTAGAGCTCCTCAAAGCGGTTATGCTGGTTGTGGTGGTCAAAAACAACACAGCTGTAACATTCACTTGTATAGATAGAAGAATAAAAATCTTCCTTCCGGTATTGCATTTTTTAACCGATAACCGGTTAACCGTACATTATTCCATAACCGGTTAAAACTGGCTGATGAATTTAAAAAAAATTTCAATAGCAGCATAACTGGAAAATCTGTTTTTAATGTAGTATTTGGAATTACTAATTTGAATTATGTTATTAAACAGTGTTCGAATTTGAAAATGTGGTGAAATTAAAATATCATTTATAAATACCCAAAATGCATCGCGACGTAATTTTAATAAGCAAGAATTTAAAATTACAGAAAATTAATTCAAAAAATAGAATAATTGTACAAAATTGACTTTGTCACATAAATGTTAAACAAACATACAAACTTAAAGGTTGACTTGCGATTGAAAATCCGAGCCTACGTAGGTGTTACATCTATCCCATTATCAAACTGATGGTTCGAACCCCACCGAGTGCACGGTTTGATGTGATCGCTTCTATTTTGAAGGTTGTGGCAACAGCTGGAACGACAGTTCTCGGAGCCTTTGATCCTATCAACGAGATCGCGGATGTTTGTCAGAAGTACAATTTATGGCTGCATGTGGATGGAGCCTGGGGTGGTGGAGTACTCATGTCTAGAAAACACCGGGCCAAAATGGCTGGTGTTGAAAGGTGAGTACCAAATACGCTGACTTTTGATCGGAACGGTTTGTTGCTATTCGTACGTTTTCCCTTACCATTTGTCTTTGCTTTAAGTCCATTTAGGTCTATAGTCCAATTAATAAAATTTCGTCCGAAATAAATGTTCGTCAGAAATAAGACGACGGTGCATTTTATTTCTACTAGGAAAATATAAGTGAATGCCGGTATCCTTTATTAAGAATGTTTTTGCTAATGTAATGTTTTCACTTGTTAACTTTTCTAGTTTTAATTTTTCAGCTTGATACGCCAAATAGTTTTCGTGAATACAATATTGTATGACTGCTGTTCGAAGTTGAAGAACGCTTTTTATTTTTTCACTCAAAAATGGCGCATCTAAGGAAAACAATTCAAGAGTGATCATTCGTTTTAATTTGAACCGGAAATTCAAAAATAATTTTATTTAGCAAAAAACCATTGGCATATCATTTTTTTCTTAAAAAACATCGAAGTCAATACCCGTTTGCACGCCACACAAAAATATGCAACTTTATTAACTTTCACTACGTACCAAATATCAGTGAAATATCTGAAGCGGTTCTGAAGATATTAATTAAGTTCCATTTTTTTCCTAAAACTTCAACACCCCGAGTTTTTGTAAGGAAACATTTTTGGACCATAGTTTATAAAGCAAACTAACATTAATTTTTCAAGTAGATTCACACTCTCAAATATTTTCATATCATTAAGGAACATCCTATAGATCTTCTCACGGTTTTTGGACGGTCCCAATAAAACTACAGTAATTACCTACTTTCATTATCACACATACTTTAGTTTGTTGGTTGGTTGTAAATGTGCAAGTAGGTAGATGGTTCAATAACAACGGATATATTCAATACACTAAATACTAATACAAATTGAATTAACCATATTTGTTAGCGCGATGTGACGCGCGCGGTGATCAATACGGAACTCGGGGGTTGTAGTACGCGGTACAGCCTAGGGGTGGAATGCGCCAGAACTATTAATAGCAAGGACGACCGAGAGATGGAGTCACCGCACATACCTACAGTGCTTTTCAGAGAGGCCCTCTACTTACTTTGTTGTTGGCTGAAATTCGTGATGATGAAATTGAGGCATGAATACTGTATTTTGACCAAAAAATAATAGTCGAACATTTCAGATTGATATCATTTACTATAACGTTTTAATGACTGATTGTGGGGCTATAAGTGATCCAGTATACCAAAAACGCCTAACTTTGACGGCCTGCCAGTTCGCCATTTTCAAAGATCATGATTTAAATATTTTGGGTTATAGAATTCACATAAGATCTTCAAAATGAACTATCACACGCCCCCCCCCCCTCCCCCCCCCCATTCCATCAAAAAATGACAAATGGCTCTCAGCCGCCATCTTGAAACTTTTAAATCCATCTTTTACGCTAAAATATAGTATTGAGGCATCAATGTCATCACTCCAAGTTTAAATTTGATTAAGTTTGCTAGGTTCAAAAATAAGTAGACGGACGACCTTTTTGAAAAGCACTATAGATGCAGTTCAACTCTCTGCGTACACATCTGCTTGTGCAAGCTCCCAGACGTACGTTTTTGACTTTTGTTTCACCACCTTGAAGATTTTCAGGTCAACGAATGAGTCTTTCTCATTTATGCTTGTCACTATGAGTTTGACAATATGCTTGTCGTGGGCGTGCAATTTGAAGTTAACTTTTGTTGATCTTCGATATAAAAGATATGAAAGCCTGCAGATACAATAACAAAGTCGACAGTCTATGTTAAATTCATCGAAGTATTTCTAAAGAGTGAATGAAAACAGTGGCCTTCTACAGAGATGTGACTTATTAACGATAGAAGTATCTGAAATACAGATACAAGGTATAAAATACGTATTTCCATCTTGTGTCTAAGACACTTTTTTTAAATTATATGTATATCTTCAATTTAGATACCTTTCGTCTGATATCTTAGTATTTGGTAAATACCATGTTTGCTAAAATATACTAAGTGACATATACTAAGTGACATATAAATCCGAACACCCAGTTTAAATGGTTTTATTTTAATAAAATTTTGTATAAGTACTTAATGAAGCATAATAAGTAAATGATAAAAATTTTTTAAAGCCCTTTGACCTTTAATAATGTGTGGATGCACCCTGATGTGCTAACCATTCTCCAACGCGCCTAGGCATGCTTCTGATCAGGTGGTCAATGTCCTCCTGTGGTATCTCATTCCAGGCAACCACCAACTCCTCTCGAAGTGCTTCTAGAGTCTGAGGAGGACGTTGCAAATTGAGCAATCTCCTACCCATCATATCCCACACGTGCTCAATTGGGAATAAGTCGGGAGATCTTGGTGGCCATGGTAACAATGTGACATCATTATGTTGAAAGAAGTCTATTGTGACTCTTGCAACATGTGGTCGGGCATTATCTTGTTGGAAAGTTGGATCTGCCAGGGTGTCAAGATAGGGTAAAAGATGGGGTTCTAGAACTCCGTGGATATAACGCTGCGCGTTCGTGTTACCTCTGATGAAGATTAAAGGTGACCTGGAACCATAAGCTATAGCACCCCAAACCATAACTCCAACAGTGTCATGAACATGTCTTTCAACAAAAAACTGTGGATTCCTCCTTTCACCACGTCGCCTTCTAACCCTGGCACGACCATCGTGCATGCCTAAACAAAATCGAGACTCATCACTAGAGACAATACTGTTCCATTCCTGATCCCAGAGTGACCGTTGTCTGCACCACTCAAGGCGATTACGTCGGTGTTCTCGAGTTAAAGGGAGGACCCAGTGTGGCCGGTATGAAAACAAGCCAAAACTTCTCATTCGTCGGTAAACACTTCGCATGCCAATAGGTGTTCCGTGTTTTTTTTTTTTTTTTTGGCACTAGAACATTGCGTCCCATTAGCCAGATCCAATCTTTTATTGTATATATCTAATTATGGACAAACACACGACGTCACAACATCCATGGCGAAGGCGAGATTCGAACTCGCGGCCCGGCCGGCCGGCTGATCAGTAGCACGACACTCTGACCCACGCGGCCAACCGAGGTCCGTTACGTGTTCTGCAAACCATTCATTTGCAATGGACCTGGTAGTGGAGAAACGGTCCCTTAAGGTCAATAATCTTAGGCGGCGATCTTCACGGTCTATTGTTCTACGGCGGCGTCCAGTGCCCCTTGCTCTTTGCGTACGGCCTTCTCGAAGCCATGCCTGACAACACCTAACCACAGTGTCTATCTACACTTCTTTGCACTCTAACTGCAATTGCCCGAAAAGAAAGTCCAGCTTCCCGAAGTCCCACTATACGGCCCCTATCAAACTCACTAAGTTGACGAAATCGTACAGGTCTCCGTACTCTAGGCATCGTAACCGATCGTAAAGGATTTCAAGAACCAAAATCCGCCAACGTTGATTCTTTACTGCTGCTGAAATATTCATTTTTAGAGCGTTAGTGAATTAAAAAAAAGCAGTATAAAAACCGGAATGTCCAACTGATAAGGCTGAAAATTTTTTCACTTGTTATTTACAGGAAGATAAATACATTCACCAACTTTTATTAAAATAAAACCATTTAAACTGGGTGTTCGGATTTATATGTCACTTAGTATATGTTCAGTGTCCCTTACAAATAAAACGATTAAATTTTCAGCTTGATTCGTCAACTGACTGTAGAAGCTGGTTCAATAATGTGTTGAGGATCCACGATTTCTTATACACTCATTGACACGATTGGGCATCGTGCTGACAATTTGGTCGATATCCTGTTGCGGTATCTCATTCCAGGCTACTGCAGCTTCATGAGTAAAAGCTGCTAAAGTCTGTGGAGGGTGTTGTAAATTCAAGAGCCTGCGACCTATCATGTCTCAGACACGTTCAATTGGGGATAGGTCAGGCGATCGTGGTGGCCAACGCAAACGGTTGATGCTATGTTGATCCATGAAGGCTAACGATGCTCTGACACCGTAAACGTACGAAAACTCGATGATTCTTTATCACCAAACAATACACTCAGCCACCACAAAAACTTAACAGAAAAACCTGACCATTTCATCACTTGTTGTTCATGGCAAGATAAATCGATATGTAGAAAACTCTTGAATTCTAATAAACATACGTAGGTGTTTACCTTTTTTGTCACTTAGTATAGAAAAAATGTGGTTCTTGATAATGGAAAGCATTGCAGTCTGATCGGCGGATTTACCCTGTACAACAAGTCAAACCATTGCTACAATCAAGAACTGATATCTACACATCAGTGCCAGTGAGTGTACCTGCCGATACAATCAGCAAAATCGAAGTAAATGTAAAAAAGTTATGAATAAGAGCAACATTTTGCTTGTTGCGTTTATTTTGAACCTGAGTGTATTTTTTTATCTAGTATTTCAGATACTATTCCAGAAGGTATTTTGTATCTAGTATATGAAATACTTATTTCAAATGTATCTTGTATTTTGTATTCCCGATACTTCGTATAGGGTATCTTGTACCAAATATAGCCCTTTATCACTCAGTTCATGTGTGTGTGCAAGAGCAAGTAGCAACTGCGTCAAAATTTGGTTTTGCCAGTGTGCAATTTATCTCAGAGAAGTTAAGCGCCCCCTTTTTACCGCGAAACGACCTACAGGATTTTTGGATCATTGTCGCACGATTTCTGACAAATATGATTCGGATGAAAATATAATTTGTCGATATGTGTCTGAGGTCTATGAGATCCTCGGAATTATTCCGGCAATCAAAAAGAGGTTTACGTTCATCATGCGTTAGTACAGTGCATTATGCCTTTTTTTTTCTCTTTCCCTTACCGTTCGATACTTTCATAAGAAATCGTGCAGGCTTGTCTAATTTCTCCACCATTTAATAACTGACTGACTGTCTGCATATGAAAAAAAAAGAAAAAGAAAGGCTGTAATAACCACTGCCCAAGAAAATTAGGGTAGATAAATGGTCTATTCTTATTCAGAGATACTTCCAACAAGTATCAATCACTGCAATAAA